CACGTGTCGTCAGTCACTTATCGTCTGCCGTGAGCATCAGTTTTGACGGTGCGATACAAAGCTGGTGAACGCTCCCGTCAGCACGCGCTGATCGCAAGGTCAGCGCTACGCTTGTAGCGCTCCACTGCATGTGTGAAGACCAATTGCTAGATTACCCAAGCATCAAGGAGAATGCAGGGATTGGTGTTCCACGCGCATCACGCGCACGCTTTCCCCGTATAAAAAATTCTAAGTAAATAACCAAAATAGAGCGTTGACGAACGCGCGTTCAAGATACCATTTGTTATGGGTATTTGTTTTTAAAAAGTTACTACTGCTGAGGCCAGCATGTGCTGCGCGTTGAACACCATTCCCTGCGTTCTCCTTGATGCTTGAGTAATATAGTAATAGGTATATTATGCCCGTTCACAAATCACTGTTCTTTTTTGCCTGAGACGGCACACCAGTCCCTCACATTGCGCGTGCCTAGCTACTTCTCTAACTGGTTGTAACTAAAGCCCCTCTATCCTGGGAAAAATGCCGGCATTCATTGTTGCGGAAATGCTCGAGACACGTGCCACGCGCCACTTCTGGGAAGAACATGGCGTCTGAAATCTAGCTCAGTTACATTACAAGTATTCTAGTACACTGTAGCTCAGTGCTGCGCTGTTCTGCCATGATCTTCCCAAGAGCTGCACGTCGCACGTGCCTCGTGCATCGACGCGCCTTGTGCTACTTTTGAAACATAAAGGGGCTTTAGTAGTAATGCTTCGTACGAAACGAAACGTACGAAAATTCTGGTCGCCAGTTGTTACGAGGCAATGATAAAGACCGAGTCTGGCCTCGTCCGATGGTGTTCCAGGCGCATGCTGAACTGCCCGCGCCACCAGCCCCGTGCATTGCACCTCTTTATTTTCTAACGAGCGTGTGTGCCTACGGTGGCGCCTGCTTTTGTATATAGCAATCGCAACACCCACTGACTTACGGTTGTTCCTTGTGATGGTCCCTACACAGCACACGAAGCGCGATTGTTTCGGTAACTCGCTATTGCACTTTGATGTAAGCGGCTGTAACGGAGGGTGACGCAATAACCAGAACACGGCAGAATATACGTATATATGTTTTGCGAGCCTCACGAACAACAAAGGTAGTTTGCAGCCACCGCTGCCTTTCTGCATGGTTCAACCATCGGGAGCTGTGCTTCTGGAACGTGCATTCCACGCCATCGAGATCGGCGTTCTTTGCGGACGTAAAATAGGAGCTTGGTCTGAGAATGCGGGGACCTCTCTCCGTCCAACCATACGCCATTGCTGGGTACTGACGGTTACTTCGACTTGCAGGTCCCCTCGAGCCACTAATTCTGCGGTGGAAACACACACGGTGAAGCGAACACTCGTGGCACATAAAATACTTGCATGGCCGCAAATGATGTTACGGACAAGCTATGTATAGGCCATAGGGCGTACAGTGCACGGATATTACTACAAGGCGAGACTGTCACGAGTTGACGTACTGCAGTACCCTTGACCGTGCGAGAACTATTGACGTCACGAGTGCGACACGCATTGCGCTTCTCGCTGGCCGACTTTGTTTCTGTAACACTTAAAGGGGGGATGCAACAATTTTTTCTACTTTTCGCATATACCGCTGTCAGCCAATCCCTCGTGTTGAAACCTATGAAACAAGCGTTCGTTTTTCAACACACGGAAGAGAATTCGCAAAGAACAATTAAAACAAAAACGAGCAGCGTTCACCCCCTCTACTCGCAGCGAGAACAGGTGGCCACGTGATGTGAAAGCGATTATATGCCGCCGATGTTGATCAGAGCCACGCGCTTGAGTTGGCAAGGCACAGGACACGTCCTGAGTTCCAGACATTGTTACGGTTCGGCTATTGCCGTCATTGCAGAGATTGCACACTAGCCACTACCCGAATACTTCTCGAGCTATCGATTATCACGACCCCTGGTCAGGCAATGCTCTGGTTTGATCTAATGAGCCAAATTCAAATATTGTCACCGGGGGGCGGGGGGGGGGGGGGGGGGGAGGACTGCGACCCCCAGCTACGTTGTCAAGTTTTGCGAAGGAGAAATTACAAGAAAACCCTAGCCTTTGTCCTTGAAATTATACCGCAACAAAGAATTTCTTGGCCAGTGGCGTTGCGTTCGAGTATACTTGGGTCACACTAGTGTTAGTAAGCTCGTGTAAAGTAACAAAATATTCCAACCGAATATTGTTGCACGGCCAGTTTAAGTATGAAAGGCAGTGTAGTTGCACAAAAAAATAAGGAGCTTTTTCAAACGCCTAGCGAAATCTGCGCTCTCATAGACCATTACTTGCACCGGAAGCTAGCTCTGAAACTTTCAAGTTCGCCTTAATACGCGTGTTTAGAGTGGTGCCTGACTTTCAAGCAAACTTCGCTAAAACTCCGCCTTGCTTGGCGTGGGAGCATCCTGATAGCACTATCCTGGGGTGTCTGTCAATAGACCGGTCCCACTAAGCGTTCCACGCATCCGTGACGCCGCCCTAACGGTAGTTCGTGGGAAGCAGGCGCCAGTTCACGGAGACAGCTCATGTCGCCTCGTGATCTACTTGCAGAGAACCTCAGGGGAGTTATTGCTCTTTACAAAATTATGGGGCAAAAGACTAAGACAGGCAAGAACAATGCGACAGGATAGAGCGCTACTCCATAGCCTCCTCCCTACTCACAAAGCCTGGCAGCTCGATGACTGAGGCATAGAGTGCCCGGTCCCAAATTTGGAGCGCGAGGATCTGGTAGCACAGAGCATTTCTCGGGGACGCTGGTAGCGAGCGCACAGCTTTTGCAGCGACGAGGACACGCGAAGAACGCGAGGATCACGAGCGGACATTCCATCGTTGGGGAAAAGTGTGTTTCGGCGTCTCGCCGCAGCGGGCGGCCGTTACATGACTCTCCTCTCATCCGTTGTCTGCCGCTCTACCTTTTCACACTCAGCGCCCGCGTCTCGTGACGATCTGCCAGGCTTTGTCAGTATACAGAAGGCTATGACTACTCACAACTGATTATTTACTGGGGGGGATCGGTGGCCGAGTGGGCCAAAGCGCACACCCAGCTCGACGCGCGTGGAGCGAAAGCTCGCGCTGCAGAACTCAGGGATCCTGGGTTCGAGCCCCACCCACCCCTGCCCGTTTCGATCTGGATGAGCATCGTACCGGCGTGCGGTCGTGTATCACTACTGCGTGGTGCACGTTAAAGACCCCAGGCTAGCGGTTGTACTGCACTATCAAAATTACTCATCTACAGCGTGTGATTCGTCGCAACTTTAATGGCTGACCAACTAACTACACGCTGTATAAATATCCCCATAACCCAATTATTTACTGCTTGTATCTTGAAACAGGTGAACGAAGTGGACTAAGTAAATAGGGAGTTTTAGAATAACGTACGCAATTTTAGCGCACGCTAGCGCTAAATTTAGCGCTTGTATTAGCGCACGCGACGCAGGGGAGTTTTAGAACAGCGTTTCTCCGCCGCGACGCAAAAGCCTAAGCATCTCGCGCTTGCGACGCCACCAAGATAGTCAAATTTTTATTTCACACACGGAATGATGTAACTTTAAAAGAAAACGAGTTTTCTGGTCCAGAGTAGCATTTTAATTTGTTTAAACATGAGAACACGACGCGAGCGGTTGACCGGTCGTGTCCGCTTGCGTCGCCTCGGCAAGAGAGGTCTCGTGTACTGACCTTCGCACATCGTTCCTTCGCCGTGAAATGTTCGCGCGTCGCAAGCATCAAGTTGCCGGTGATCGCTGCCAAACCGAGTACAATGTCGTCCCGTATTGAAAATTCCAGTCGCGAGGATGCCGCCGACGTCGCACTTACGACGCCGCCAAAGCAGCCGCCGACATAACCCTGGAAGCCGGCAATTTTTTCAACTCTGCTCGTCTTGGCTTTAGACAACTTCTCATCACGAATCCTCCTTGGAGAAGCGCAAAGACTCTTTGCGTACGCACGCTGTTTCCGAGAAATAGCGCACGCTAAAATTGCGCACGCAAAGCGCAAAACCTGGTTTGCGTTCGGAGCATGCGCAGTGGCGACGACGCTATTCTTTGCGTACGCAAGGCTTTAGCGTGCGCTATTCTAAAACTCCCTAATAGACGCAGCGAATCACTTCTTTTTTTTTTTCATTTTCATATTTTTTCTTGGGGATCTTTTTTTTTTTTTTTGTCAGCGATTCACAAGATTTATTTACTTAGTTCACTTCGTTCCCTTCCTTCATGCTACAATGAGTAAATACGTCATCAGTTCCGAGTAACGCTCTGCTCTGTTCCATTGTCCCCTCTTGTACTAGTATTGTGTACTATAATTTTGTATTGAATAACCAACTGGCGCAACAGTTAACTTTAATTGAGTTATTGCTTGAGCAGAAAGACAACACTTCTTATGATGCATGGCGGCATCGGTAACGTAATGAAACTGGCTGCGAGATCGGTCTACTTTGTGTGTTTTCATGTTCATGTAATAAAATGCCTGTTGAATCCTCGTTTGAAAAAAAAAAGAACTCACTTGGCATAATATGGGTTTGAATTGTATGAAGGACTGTTTTGTTTCAATAAAAATAAACTTCTATGTGCTCTGTTTTTACCCCCGATATTTCGGGGAGGTAGTGACCAGCAATTACGCAGGGGCGCAGCTGCAATAGTAAATTATTTGGCAGGTTCAGCCTCTTGGAAAGCAGCGTATTCCTTCGCGTAAATGAAATACTTATGCAGAATTAGCAATAGCATTGGTGAATAAACAAGTCAAGAAAATTTAAGGGGGGGAATCATTTTCTTTGCGACTTCATAAGCACTCTTGTTGAGCAAATCCCCTGCTCTCAAGTGTAAACTACAGCTATTTTATCTTGTAAACTACAATTCTCTTTTATTTTAAGGAATTGTACGCTATTAGATGACGAAAATCATCATTGCTTCAAGTATGACAAAGGATAATATGATAACTTCTTCAAAATTAATCGTTACTTTTCTTTTTGTCTCGTTCCAGTTGGAGTTCTGGTCCTGCATCAATGACACCCTAGAAGGTGAGGTACTTAAAAATTCCCAGGGTGATGAGAACAAGCATGGGAAAAGCTATCTGTGTCTTTAAACACTGCGCCACCGAATGCGTTTTTCTTCCTAAAACAGCGTACGGCGATTCGCCCTGACAACATCATGATCATCCTCGCCATTATTATATATCCCTTTCCTGAACACTAATGTCATTATACCTGCCCGCGATGTCGCCCAATATTCACTAAGAACACAAAGCTTTTGTTATGATTAGTATTAACTTAATTCTTCTTTTTACTCTTGTTGTTGTTGCTTTTGTTGTTATATTTGTTTTTAATGTTGTTCGGCGATTTAATTTCACACCCTGCAAGGGAAAGGGGTCACAATTCAATAACCTTTGAAAAACTATATATGCTGAGCCAACTGTTCACTAGAACGAAACTAAAAAAAAAAAAAACTGCTAACTTTGCTTTTTTTTTAATTTTCTTGCCACTGAAAGGACCCATGACTAATTTTGAGATTGGGTGACTGTCATAGGTTGCGCATTTTGGTGCGTCACCAGGCTCACGTACATTTAGCACAACAGAAAACGTTGCATATCGTTTGTGACGGGGCGATATGAGAGCCATATGATTATAAAAGTGTGTTTTCTTTCTAAAATTAACATAAAACTTCTGACGATACTCTACGATCTAGAGCTTTAGCATACTTATACTGGGTGTTTTTTAGGGTTTACATACATTTTTCGAAACAGCCGGTTACGCTAGATTAATGCGGTCTGTGCAGATAAGTTCTACGTCCAGGATATAATGTATCTTGATATTTGCTTCTCAAACATAAACACATTAGTCGATTAAAATGCTATTACGGCATGGAGACAAAAATTTGCAACCAACCTTTCACACGTCATCTATGTCTCCTGCCAATAAGAAATATGCGCACCTTCTAGACAGAGAGCGGGGCGTAGCCGGCTGCTACCATCACCTTCTGTTCCTAAGTTGCGTCTGACGGCTTAAATATTGCTCGAAATTCTTTTTTTAATTTTCATGGTAATATTTTTTTTAATATGGCTGTCCGATCTATGCCCTTTAAAAAAAATCTTCATTTTCCTTGCAAGATTATTGCGTGGTCTCGTGGACAGCAGTGTTATAAGCATATAGGTCACGAAACCATGTGTTTCATCCCAGCTTTGCCGAAGCTGGTGAATATACATTGGAACCGTCGAGGAAAGTGAACGGCTAATAAAGGGGTATTCCTGCGATTTTTTGACCTACCCAACTAACTATATTTTACCGAATCCCCAGCCGTTTTCCATTTCGAGTATGCTATTTAGTATAGTGAAATTCAAAATACTTATTGTGAAATCAACAAATGAAAGTGATGCCAAAACCAACGTTCAAATACACCAGCGCGTTTCAGTGCCGTGACGTCAATGGCAGGCAGGCTCGCCTGTCGAGCAGGCAGTCGAAAACATGGACTAAGCGGAGCATTTGTTTCGTGTTGCAGCGCGGGTGATGAACCGAGCTCCCAAAGCCTTCATTTGGCACCATATAACTGCTTGTAATCAGGTCGGAACTAATTCTACAGTCCAAAGAGTGGACCCCTGACTTCCACTCACGTGACTTTTTCGTTGTTGCCAGTAGAGACTTTCGGTTTGAAAAACATGGTGAGGACCAGAACTGTCAATGCTACAACTTCGCGAAAGAAAAAACTACTGGAAATACTATTAAAAAAATATTGGGATAAAAATATTTGGGCTACTATTTTATCGATGTATGTTGGTGTGATTAGTAAATTTTCAGACAAATCAGGAACCATGACGAAAACGCCCGAGCACCCTTTTGTGCTGAGCCTGCAGCCAATGCCGCATGCACGAGGTCGCTACCTTCACGCGTTCTTCCGCAGAACGAGCGCTTGCGCTAGACATGCATGTCTCAAAGCCATGAACGCGTTTTCCTCGGCGACGCGAAGTACGAGTTTAAGATGACTTCCGCGGATGGCCCATCGCCAGGGCACGGCTGTTGGGCAGGATATCAAACTATAGGGGGCACTTTATGCAGCTTTTTATTCCCACACCCTGGTGTTTAGTAACACAGCAAAACAAAGAAATTGAACCTAGCCTAGCACGGTCTAGGCAGGAGCGCTTCGCTCTGAACAGCGCTTCAGTCGCACGAGGAGCGGCCTTCGAATTGTCACTTTCGATTTCTTTCGGATCAAAAACCAACAAGAAAATACGGTTTGTTGTCACCACAGCTAAAGCGTACCCCTAGAGGCATGACCGTTTGATCTGATCCCCAATACTCCGTTCACCCTTAAGCTGAGATTAAAAGCTTCTCCTTAAGCGCAAGATTTCTGCCCTTGCGAACGCAACTGTGAACGCGCAGGCACGCACAACCAAAGCACTGCGGAAGCCAGCGAGCTCGCGGTAAAGGCGGAGCTTCTAGTGCCACCTTAAGGGTGAATGAAGTATAGTTCAGTCGGTAGAGTTCGAGACCCTTAACCTCGGGGTCTTCGGTTCTAGCCCCACGTTAGGCGCCAGTGTACGAATTCCCTTGCTGCTACCCGTCTCGGAGAATGACCCAACGCACCGATTCAACAAGACGTAGTCACTATTGACCGTTATCGCCCGCGCCGCTATCCCAAGTGCCCCCGCGCATACGCTGCGATGGCCTTTCATTGGCGGCGGAGCGCCGCTCCCGGTGCCTATTGCACTTGGCCTCCTCGCGGTGAAAACAACTAAGAGTGATTTGGCATGTTAGCCAGCTGGTACAACGCTTTAGATTCCCAGGCTGCCCACAGCTAGGTGGAGCGTTCATTCAACGAGGTTGTCCAATCACAGAGGCAGGGGTTTCCCCAGGAATTGAAATAAGGGGGATGTCTAAATTTTTCGGAGGAGCGGGGGGGGGGGGGGATTGAGAATAAAGGAGTCGTTCCGAATTAAGTGGGTGCCTTCAGAAAAACAAGGGGGGTGGGGTGTGTAGGGAAATCACTGCACAGGGGCCATAGTAAGAACACCCCGAGACTGGGAAAAAGGAAGGACGGAAAACACAGATCTCTTCTGTTCACAGAGGCCAATACGAGAAAAATAAAAAAATAAAAGGGAACGCATTTTTATGTTGTATGTGGCCGCGCTGGCGCTCATTTCGGCGTAGGCAGCTTATTTCGGCGTTGTCAAGTTTGTACTTCAGCGAAACAATGTTTTCAGACATGCCAGATGCACTTTTTTTAGCAAGCTGTCTTAGGCTTGTTCATAGGCAAATTGTTAAGTCTGGCGACAGAAATGCGGCTTGTAAACGAGCAGTCTTACTGAAGGTTAATCGTGTTGACAAAAATCTATTTCAGCTGTCAGATAAGCACTACAGAAGTCAGCCTCCAAAATTTCTAGTGAGAAATGCCGCCATCATGAATCTCAGTTCGAGCGTCTCATCTTCGTGACGCCACATCTAGAGAAAGGGGCGTCCGTTAGGTCCCTTCATTTTGTTCAATGACGCCAGTCAAAACATAGCTCCAACTTACGGCCCATGAGACTTGAATCATCGTACACTGAGCGGAATCATCAAACATTAAAAAAAGCTTTCCTTCTTTTTTTTTTTTTTTTTTTTTTTGTCCGGTACGTTAGGTTGCTAAACGAGATGCAAAAAGGAAATGTAAAAGCTTATAGTGTCGCAAATTTGCAGTCGGTTTTATAACTTAGCATGCCGGAGGCACTCCTTGCGGCATTTCATCCCTTTTAGCTAGTACCAAACTGGGCAGGTCAAACAGTCGTTAAGTGTGGTATAGTGGTAGGCGTTTCTTTTAGGAGGTTGTTTTATTGATTGTATCCGCCTGGTGTAGGTCTTTCATCTGACTATAGCCGTCATGACTTCGAGAGGGCGAAGTGAGCGCGAATCGATCACATCCGGTCATGTCGAAAATGAACGTCTAGCACCAAAAACGTTTCTTTTTCTCCTTTTTTTTATAGCATGGGAGGCAGGAGTCGTAAAGCAAACAGTTTACTCGGAAAGACAGTTTTTTTTTTTTTTTTTAAATGAAGCCATCTTCATTTCTTTTCTTTTTTTCCCAACGGAGAAGTCCACATGATACGGCGTTCTTTGTTTGCGATTTACGATAATTTTTCGCGCGCACTCCGCGATTGCTGCGTTGCCCATTGCGCATTTCTCATTAACACGATTAAAAATGTGCAATTACAAACAAACGACGAGCCAGATTGAAAGACGTCAACAATACACCAAACGCGGAAGAAACAAATGAGGCTTTCGATCCGGCTGCGCGTTTTACGATCCCGATCAAAGGGCGTGCCGCCAGCTCCTTCGAGTTAACGTCCCTTACTGTCAAACAGTTTTACGACATCGTTTTATTAGTCACGCGTAGACCGAGAGAGGGGAAGAAATAAAGGGTGCCGAAGGAGAGCGGCGTCATTTCATTATCTCGGAATGAAGAGAATACGGATCACGAAGCACGGACAGTGTGCGAAGTATTGGGCCTATTTTGCGCAATAAGAATGTTTCTTCGCCTGGCAGTTGTGCTGGTTTGTCTTCTCTAAAAGATCGGACGTTTATTACCCTAGGGCCTACCCTAATGAAAAAGCCATCTCTATGGGAAATTTCGTGTGCCCAATAAACACATATAAATCATACAATATATATAAGAACACACAAGTATCATATAAGAACATATAAGAACCGTATAAGAAGCCTTTGAAACGTTTCTTATATGGTTCTTCTATTGTTCTTATATGTTCTTATATATCTTATATAGTTTTTAATAGATCTTATATGGTTCTTATATAGTACTTATATGGGACTTATATCTCCTTTAATATCTTGTATGATTCACATCTGTTTATTGGACACAGATATTTCTCATGCAAATGAAATTTTTCAATAGGATAAGGACTTTTCAGGTGGATCAGAATGACGGTCTTAAAACACTATTAACGCAAATCCTCCTACGTCAGCATCCGACTCGTTTCCTCGTCGACTGAGTGCAAGCCGAGCGCTCACGCAGTACTCGTGCCCAGTCTAGTGGGTGA